CAAACAAGTGTGGCTCCAACGACAACAGCAATTCAAACAACTGTGCCTCCAACAACGACAAGAATTCAAACAACTGTGGTTCCAATAACAACAGAAATTCAAACAACTGTGGTTCCAATAACAACAGTAATTCAAACAAGTGTAGCCTCAACAACAACAAGAGCAATTCAAACAAGTGTGGCTCCAACGACAACAGCAGTTCAAACAATTGTGCCCTCAACAACAAAAACGAGAATCCAAGCAACTGTGGTTCCAACAACTACAAGAATTCAAACTACTGTGCCCCCAACAACAACAGAAATTCAAACAACTGTAGCTCCAACGACAATAGAAATTCGAAAAGGTTTGTTGATTAAAATAATTTTAATAATGGAATATAAATATTTCTAGAGCAAATAACAAGTATGGCAACATCAACAGTGTCAACTATTAATTCAAGTAATCAGTTAAATAAAAAAATAATTTCTTTAAATATTTGATCTATTTTTAGCATGTTTACTGCCTACAGTTACACTTATACCTGGAGCATTATCATTATCATCTCCATTACAATTTCGACGAAGTCAAGATTTCTATATCAGTTCAACAGTTCAGTTCAATTGTAACATTTCACTTTCAATGACTACACAATGGACAATTAAAAATTGTTCTTTGAGTTGTTCATATAAAATTCCATTAGATCCAAAAATAATAACAACACTTAGCGAATTATATATTCCATCAAGAACACTTGCTTATGGACTTTATCAATTAGAATTAACTGTAACAATGATTAATTTACCAAGTTTACCAACATTATCATCATCAGTTTACGTTCGAATAACTCCATCAGGTATAACAGCAAATCTTGTTCAATTAGGAACATCAATGATTACACGTGGAGATCAACAAGATCTTAAACTTGATCCAGGAACATATTCTGTTAATCCTGATAGTGATTCATTTGATGCAACTGTAAATAGATAATTTTCAAATCTTTCTGTAACTTTTCTTAATTCTCTAGAAGTGGAAATATGAATATTATTGTCGAATTTATGGTTTATATATGTTTCCAAATTTCCAAGGATCATTATTATCAATAGATGTTCCAAGAATTGATCCTTCAAATCCATCATGTTTATCAAATCAAATAGGTAAAATTGATTTTTAATCTGTATTCTAATAGTTTTGTTCTAATAGGAAATAAAACAGGATTAAAATTTGATGGTGTTAGTCTGTTATCGAAATCATCTGTAACAATTCTTGCTGGTTCATTAAAATCCAATCGAACATATCAATTTATGGTTCAAATGGAAAATATTCAAAATTCTTCTATTCAAGCTACAGGTTATGTACTTGTTAAAGTTGATGATACTCACCCACAAATGATCGTTATTGGGTAAATTATTACATTTATGTCATTCAATTTTCATATATCTTTGATTTAGTTGTGTTATTTCGACGATGTGTGTTCCAAATTTAGAATTTCAATTTGTTAATCCAACAACACAAGTCGCATTATTTGCTATTTGTAATGGAAATTGTACAACTCTTGAAAGTATCATATGGAATATCTATCAAGGATCATCAAATTCATCTTCAAATGTTACTCAATGGATTTTATTTAATCAAACGATTGCGTATGAAAATATTTGGTTTTTTGGTAGAAATACAAGTAATTTTACTGCAACAAATCAATTATTTCTTAATAATCCTCAAATTGATCTTTGGCGACTTGAAGTTGTTTATAATTTTACATTTGAAACAAGTGTAAGTTCATTAAATTTCATTATCAATCAACCTCCGTATAATGGTTCATGTTCAATGAATCCTTTGAATGGTACAACAAGTACTTTATTTACTATCGAATGTCCAAATTGGTTTGATGAAGATGAAATTAAAGATTATTCACTATATAGTATGACCTATCCTCTTCATAAGATATGCGAATTTTTAAAGAATATGTTTTTCATTTTAGTTTGGACAACAGATCAAACAGAACGAATGATGATTGCATTTTCACCAGTACCGGTTTTTCAAGTGCATTTGCCAGCTGGATTACTTCATATGATGATTTATATTCGTGATTCTCTTGATTGTATTGCAGAATTCAATATGTCATCTGTTAGTGTCACAACAGATCTTGATACAGTTAATGATTTAATCAATAATATACAAAATTCAACAACTAATCCATTTATGCGCATTCTTGCCGGTGGAAATCAAAATTTAGTTGGACAAGTGATTGTTTCCGTATCACAACAGTTTAATAAAATGAATAATGAAAGCATAGACAATGCTGTTTTAAGTAAATATTTAGAATTATTATATTATATAGATGATCTTTTCTTTTCAGATGGTATTCCAGCTACAAGTATATCTATATCGTCTTTAGAAAGTCAATATTCACAAGGGGTAATTTTATTTGAGATATTTTTCATGTTGTTATTATTTTACATATAGAATTTTACTTCATTGAATGAGTCAGCTTTGATTGCATATAAGAAAGAGTTAAACTCTCTTGCAAATGTACGCGATCAACTTATAAAATATATGGTTGATCTTCAAGTTTTTGATTCCAATAGTCTTAAATTACAATCATTATCCTTAGCACAATTGAGTGAATCAACAAATCAATTGACACGAACAGTTTTAGTAAGATTTGACATTTTAGTTATTTTAAAACAAATAAAAAATAATTAATTAGATGCTTGTATCGAATAAATGTTATCAATTATCCCTTGCTTTACGTTCGATGGCAACACAAATTTCATATGAAGATGTTCAAATAATCACAACTCAACTTATTCAATGCGCTACTAATATTCTGAGTGTAAGAGATTTCTTAGAATAATAAAAATGAATTCGTTTTTTGATTAAGGCTGTTAATGGACCATTGCAAGAACGAACACTTGTTTTAGATTTAGATTCATCTCGTGCAACAGCATTTCCGACAGATTATGATACAGATATTGAATCAGAATGGTCTAATCCAAGTAAGTTTATCTTTGATTTATTGATGATTTACGTTTGGATTGTAATAGATCTATTTGCTGATGGAAATGATTTTTCATGGAAAACAATTGAGAAAGGTCGAAATACTTATTATCAACAACAACTAGCAAATACAATCAGTAATCAAACGAATGAAATTATATCATTATTGACGTCTACATTGAATATTCATATAAATATCGGTCAAAATTTAACAATAAATACACCATCAACATTTATGTCATTAGAAACAATATCAATAGAAACTCTTTCAAACAAACAAATTCAACAAGTTGGAAATGCTCAGATTAATCTTCCTGAACATTATAATTCGAATATAAGTAACAATTCAACAGTGATGCTTAGAGTAAGATTTTTTTCTTTTGAATTAATTAATTTAATTATTATGTTTACAGTCAAGAATGGAACCACTTGCTGTGTATGGTAGTTCAAAATCTCAACTAGCAAATACAAATGTTTCAACATCAATATCACTTTCAGTTGTTGATCGTAATGGAAATGAAGTTACAGTTAAAACAAATGAAACTCATCCAATTGAAATAGTCATTCCTCATGATCTAAATCTCATAATTCCATTAATGATTATTCAAAATGTTACATCCATAAATTCTACATTTCATAATCAATTATTTTCTTTTCATTATATGAATATCACAAATATACTTCCAATTTCCGCTCATATTGAAATTCATCCATTAGAAACAAATATTTCTTATTTATTTATTTATAAATTTGATCAAATACCTCAATTAAATACTTCAATAAATCAAATTGATGGATGGAGTGTGTTTTGCCCTTTCAATTTAACAAATAAAAGTATGTATACATATTTTATTGATAATCAACAAACATTTGGTCATCAATCAATTATATTTGGTTTACGAGAATTAAATTTAACAGAAACTACAGATTTTTGTATAAATTCTTCAATTGTAAATCCTCCAACAACAGATTTTAAATTTAATTTTACATCAAATTATAAACTTCGTATTTATACATCAGGTTGTTATTATCTTGATCAAAATAATCAATGGAAATCTGATGGATTAATAGTTGGTCGATTAACAAATCATTATGAAACTCAATGTTTTTCAACACATTTAACAACATTTGCAAGTGGTTTTCGTGTTTTACCTGAGCCAATTAATTGGAGTTATGTTTTTGCTAATGCTGATTTTATGAGAAATAAAACAATTTATCTAACAATTATTTGTGTATGTGTGATTTATATCATTTTAATATTGTTTTCTCGTTATAAAGACAAAAAAGATATTGAAAAATTAGGAGTAACACCATTACCTGATAATCATAAAGCTGATGAATATTTTTATCAAATTATTGTTTTTACTGGTCAAAGAAAATATGCTGGAACAAAATCAAAAGTGAGATTTCAAAGATATATGAATATATGGTTTTTTGAATTATATTAAAAATAGGTTCATTTTGTATTGTGTGGTGATTCAGATACAACACATGTTCGTACATTTGCTGATCCACATCGGCAAATATTTCAACGTGGTGGAATTGATGCATTTATCATGGCTGTTCCAAAGTAAAAGATTTGATTTGAAGAAAAATAATCGAGTATTTGTTTAGATCTTTGGGATTATTAAATTGTATTCGTATTTGGCATGATAATAGCGGTAAAGGTTCATCATCATCATGGTTTTTGAAATATATAATTGTTCGTGATTTACAAACAATGGAGAAATTTCATTTTATTTCTCGACAATGGTTTGCAGTTGAAAAAGGAGATGGAAATGTAAATAAAATAGTTTTACAGTATTGAGAATTATTTCTATTTTCTGAAATAGATTGAACGTATTTTACCAATTGCTAGTGAAATAGAAAAGCAAGAATTTTCATATGTATTATCAAAAAAATCTTATCATAGTATATCCGATGGTCATTTATGGTTTTCAATATTTTCTCGTCCACCATCAACTAAATTTACATGTGTTCAACGATGTACTTGTTGTTTTGTTTTATTATTTATTTCAATGTTTTTAAATATAATGTATTATGATTTATCAAATGAAGGACAAACAAATTCGATTAGTTTATCATTTGATTCATTTTATATCAATCCTCAACAGGTATGTTATGACTTTTTATTTATTTTGATTTCATTATAATATTTTCAAGATAATAATTGGTATCATTGTTGAAGTATTTGCATTGATTCCAAGTCTTTTACTTGTTCAACTCTTCCGACGTCTTAGATCTCGTCGACAACAACTATCTCCATTACGTCAAGCTTTGTATTTAATGAAATCAAATTTAGAAATGTTTGTAGAATTAAAATGAAGAGAATTTTTTTTGATTTTCTTTTATTTTTCAGTAAGAACGAAAATAAACAAAAATTAAGAAGAACATTTCCATGGTGGTGTATATTTATTGCATATGGTCTTTGTATATTATTTGCTGGACTTTCAATTATTTTTATAATTGCTCGTGGTATTGAATTTGGTGATGATAAAACTCAAAAATGGTTAATATCAATTTTAAGTGGATTTTTCTCATCTATTTTTTTGACACAACCATTGAAGATTATAAGTTTAGCAATATTTTTTGCTTTTTTCTGTCGTAAACCAAATGATGATAAAGAAGCAAATGAATATTTGAATGATGATCAATTTGCTTTAGACGAAGATGAAGAATATCTTCATTCGATTAAGAATAAATTTTTATTTATTTATCGATCACCAGTACGTGCCAATCGTTTAAATCAAGATGAAATTATTTCTGCACGTGATCGACGTTTGAAAGAAGTTTATATGTGGTCAATTCTACGCGAAATATTTATATATATATGTTTCTTATCACTTCTTTGTATTGTAACATATTCGAATCATCATCCAAATGCATTTCTTCAAGTTAATCATTTACGAAAATATTTTTTGAATTCTGATTATAAGAAGGTTTGTTTTCTTATAAAAATGTTTCTTTTATCATAATGAATGTTTATAGATTTCAACAATAAATCAATATTGGAATTGGTTAGAAAATAGTTTTGTTGAAAATATTCATGCTCAACAATGGTACAATGGTGATGCAGCTCGAAATTTAAGTGGTTATATTAATGATAAATCTAATCGATTAATTGGTTGGGTAACAATGAGACAATTACGTCTTAAATCTCAATCATGTCAATATGATTATAGTTCATCAAATGAAGATAAACAGTCCTATCAACCAGGATGGTTAAATGAAACTATAGAAACGTATAGTTTATCCATTAGTCAATCATTTCAATACCAATCAAGTAAAGATTTAGATACATATACTTATGTTGGTGATCATGGAAGTTATCCTGGCAGTGGTTATATTTATGAATTTCGAGGTCGTTTATCTGATCTTCAAAGTAATTTATCTCAACTTCACACATTAGGATGGATCGATAATCAAACACGAGCTGTAATTATTGAATTAAGTTTATATAATCCAAATGCTCAATTATTTACATCAGGTATTTTTCTTATGGAAATTTTATCAACAGGTGGAATGTATCCGTCAGCTCGTTTTGAACCAATGAATTTTGATGGTAATTTCCTTTTGATAATTAACAATAACATAATATCCCTTTCTCTTAAATTTAGCATTTACATCGACATTTCAATTGATTAGTATATTTGTTTATATGATAATGATTCTATATTTTATATGGATAGAAATTAGATTATTAAAAAAATTAAAATGGAATTATTTTCAACGATGTTGGTCTTACATTGAAATTGGTATAATAGTTTGTTCATGGACAAGTGTTGTACTATATATTTGGCGTTATAAAGAATGTAAACGTATTGGAAAATTATTTAAAGAAACAAATGGTTATGTTTATATAAATTTACAATTAGCATCCTATGTGAATGATATATTAACATATTTATTTGCATTTTGTTGTTTTTTTGGTACAATTAAATCTTTTCGTCTTTGTCGTTTTAATCAACGTCTTAATCTATTTATTGATACACTTCGATATGCTAGAAAAGATTTAATTTCATTTGCAATGATGTTCTCAATGGTTTTTATATCATTTATGTGTTTATTTTATTTATTATTTGTCTCAAGGCTTGGTGCATGTTCAAGTTTATTAAAAACATCACAAATGTTATTTGAAATATCATTAATGAAATTTAATACACATGAATTAAGTGAAGCTGCACCATTTTTAGGACCATTTTGTTTTAGTTTCTATATTCTTTTGGTTGTTTTTATTTGTATGAGTATGTTTCTCACGATTATTAATCATAGTTTTCGTCGTGCTCGAGAAAATATTAATGATAATCAAGAAATGTTTTCATATATGTTAAATAAATTTCAACGATGGATAGGTTTAAAAAAAGTGACTGAAGAAGAGCGATATACATTCAGGCGACTAGAATATTTTGATCCAATTGAACATTTTCCAGATAAAATTGATCAATTATTAGATGCAATTAATCGAGTATGTTTAATTATTATTATAATGTACACTTATTATTATTGAATTTTTAGCTTTATATGACACAAATAAGTGAAAGATCAACAATGGAAAAAGACGAATTTTAATTATTATACTATTTTATGTTGTCTTGACTATTATGCTTTTCGTGTTTGACCTTTTATTTATTTGTTAGTGTGTGAGGGTTTCTTGAGGGTGTGGGTGTGCCTCTCATAGTTAAATTGATATTCACACAATGGCCCACACTCACACCCATCTTTTTTCTTATCTCTTCCCTTTCTCTCAATAAATCATAAAACCATAAAAATAAATAAAATCTCTATCTAGAAGTTTTCTTTTATTAATTTGGATATTTTTCTGAACTTAAAAACATTTTATTTGAGTTTTCTATAAAAATTGAATTTCTTTTGATTGAGTTTTCTTCGAAATTCTTTTAGTTTGATTTATTCAACAAAAATTCTATCCGAATTATTTTATTCATTTTGGTGCTTTAATTTGAAAGTAAAATTAATAAAATAGTTATTTACTTCTCTGTCAAAAATCAAAAATCAATTTATTTATTTTATAAGAAGAAATTTTTTGATTCATTTTCATCTATTTTTCTTCAAGCTTTTTCATAAACTAATGATTTTAATTTATTTTCAGTTTAAAAGTTTTTCATATTTTTGGATTCGATGATTATCTTTATCAACAACATAAAGATTTTCTTCATTATCAAATGATAAATCCATGGGACAATTCAATTGATTTGATTGATCTCCTTGACCATTTCCACCAACAATAATCTCACCTTCTGCATTTCCTTCACACCAGCGCATTACTCGATGATTCCCACAATCTGCCACATAGATTTGACCCAAATGATCAACAATCACTCCTTGAGGACGATACAATTGTGTGAGAGTATTTCCTTCACCATTTCCACCAGCAACAACAGTTCCTTCTTTTGCATCTTTTTTCCATTTCATTACGCGATGATTGTCACGATCAGATATATAAAGAGAATAATATTCATCAATAAACATAAAAGTAGGATAACTGAGTTGATTAAGTTGATTTCCTTGACCATTTCCACCTGCAACTAATTCACCTTGTTTATCTCCTTGTTTCCATCGTCTTACTTCATGATTCTCAGGATCAGAAACATATATAAACCCATTTTTATCGATTGTCAGACGAGAACAATCAATATTTGAAATAAAAGTTTGTTGATTTATTTGATTTGTATCAAAATATCGAATTACTCGTTTGTTCCCATAATCAGAAATAATAAAACAATTGTTTTTTTTATCAAAAATGATATTTCTTGGACAACTCAATTGATTATTTTGATTTCCTTGTCCATTTCCACCTGCAATAATTTGACCTTCATTTGAATTCAATTTCCATTTAACAATACGGTGATTATCACAATCAGCAATATAAATTGATTTATCATTATCAATAAAAAACCCAAAAGGATAGTAGAGTTGATTTGATTTCTGTCCACGTCCATTTCCTCCAGCAACAGTAATTGCAAATTGCTGAAATTGATTCATTTTTGTTTGAATTTGTTCTAAAATAAAAGATTTTCTTTTTATTCAAAATCTTTCTTATTATTTCTAAATAAAAACGGGCAAAAATAAGATGAAAAACTTGTATCTGAATATGTTTTAATAAACTAAAATTTTCTCTTTGTTAAATTTAATTTTTAATAGAGCAAAATTAATTTTATACAATTTGTTCATTCAGTTGAGATTTTTTGATTAAAAATTGTTTATTTGATTTTCATAAAAGTTTAATTTTTGAAAAATTTTTCACCTCAATGATTTAAATAAAGTCGATTAAAAGGTTCTTTTTTATTAGTAAATTAAAAAAGTTCTTTTATTTGAAAATTCTAAACTAAAAAGTTAAGCTGAACTTAAATTTATTGAACAATTTCAATGCAAGATAATCTTCTCATAAAAATATTAAAAGAGATTTTTCAAGTTGAAAAAAATCTAAAAATTCTATTTATCCTGAGAAATTTGTTTAGGTTGGAATTTCATAATTGAACAAATCTTTTAAACAACAAAAAAAGTAATGATTTTATAAAAAATTATTATTAATTTATTGATCTGTTGAAATAATATTTCCAATTAACTTTATTCAGATTTTTACAAATATTTAAAAATCATTAACAATAAAATATTCCATATAGAATATCAATGCATTGAAAATAATATATTGAAGAGAATGTTTGAAATGTAACTGATCAAAAGAAATTTTAATATTAATATGCAATATGAAAACAGTCAAAAACTCACCACGTCAACAATAATTCAAATTGAATAAATTATTTGCTAGAATTCTTGGTAATATTTTTTACTTTTTCATGTATGTTGGAAGCGAACGATGAAGGTAGTTTATTAAAATGACGAAGTTATTTTGTCGCAACCAACAAACGAAAAGTGAAGTTGGTAAATCAAAAAATGATCAAAATCTAACAACAATAACAACATAAAAATATACTAAACAACCAATCAGTAGTGTCTTTTTATTTTCATGAAGAGAAAAATAACACTGTATTATTTCAGTTGAAGCCATATGAATAAACAAAAGAAAAAAATTGATTTTTTCTGTGGCTGCTCCTGTAAAAAGACATTTTAATACATTCCGCGAAAGAATAGAAGCTATTTAATACAGTCGATGCCGGTAACAACAATGATCACATCAGATTCAACTAACAAAACACTTTACTCTTTATGAATTCTACATCAAGAGTATGGATGTGGGTGTGGATACCAGTCAAGGATCACACCCACACCCTCTATTTTAATTTTTGCCTCAAAAATTCAAAGTTGAAAGACTTTCACTGGACACGAATAGTTTTATTTCTTCTTGTTCTATCTTTTTAGTTATTTTCAAATAGTATTTCTGTATTACAGCAAGAATGATTAAACGATTAACGGTTAAAAATATCTTCTTCTAATCCTCTATCTGAAGTGATTTGTTTGTAAAGTTGAGCCTACTCTAGAATGAAATCATTCCGGTGCCTATAAATAGTTCTGTTTATAATCAAATATTAATGTATTTTATATGTGTCTTGCACTTTTTACTCGTGTGTTACTCTATTATTTATATAAACATTGTCAGCTTAATCAGTATTATAAATACAAAAATATTTATTCTATCTAACTCAAAACTATCATTCTTCATAATTTTTATTTTTTATTACAACATAAAACAAGCGACAAATTTGCAAACAGGATAATTCAAATAAATTACTATTCAATGTATAAAAAAATATATGAAATTTAATTATTGTTTATAATTATAGGAATGGACTAATTTATATGATTCATAGCAGTAATAAGTCATATATCTTAGCTGTGTGTAGATAATATTGAATCAGGAAGATGAATAACACCCAAAGATAAACCGAGTTCAGTAACTCCGTACACTCTACTAATGTATTTTACAGAGATTGATAGTATTTGTTCTAATAAAACTGATGATGATGCAAATAAATCAAAATAGCAATCGCGACTCACTTTGTAATGTATTCATCAATCGGTCATAGGTTGAACATCGACAACAGAAAGATGAGAATCGAGCCTTTTCTGTCCACACTCAATTTGGACCGTGTGTATAATTCAAATATCGTACCCATTGTTCACCATCCAATCGCCATACAACTAGCTGTTGTCCATTAACGCTAAAATTTACATCCTCAAATTGTTGTTTTATACAACAACAAGTAGTACAGAGGCCTATCAACACAAAGATAATGCCAGTAACCATTAGAATTCCACCAACAGTGAGATATCGTAAATTTTCTGATGGACAGTCACAAGAATAAGAACTACATCTTGGTAGAACAAACCCTATGATTAATAATATCAAACCAATTAAGAACACTATTCCAGATACGACATAGAATTAATACATCATTTGTTTGCGTAAACGTTTCTTATGCAAATCGACTAATTCATTTATTGACTGAGAATCTAGAGAATAATTCGCTGTTAGACTAAAATTTGATTCAATATTTGGTGATAATGAATTCTATAATGAATTTGTTTTTGATAACGAGGTATTTTTTAGTCCATTATAATAGAAAATCTAACTTTTTGACATTTGAAATAAGGCAAACAAAACTGATCTTTGTGATTGATTCGAGATACTAATCGACACTTACTTTTGGTTGTTTATCATTAAAATAGATTAAAGTATCATCATTAGCAAACGTTGATTGTTGATTTGGTTGAAAATTCATTGTACTAAATATTAAATATAAAGAAATATTTTCAAGTAAAAGCTAAAGATATTCATAGTATAGTAGTTAGCGTCTTATATATTATTCAGATCTTATCAGATTTGAAAAAAACTTGCGATTCTTAAACTATCAGAGATTTTGTATAGAATGGGTGCTTTTTCACCTTTTGAATATTGAATATTGAAGCACTCAGAAACTGTTGATCTGATGTAACTTGTGCAACTTAGCTAACAAACAAAGTCTGGTAACTATATTCATTGTTTTAAATAAACGACGTCTCTTGGAACTACTATTACATTATTAAAGCATGTACATTATAGATTCGATTTATTCGTCCAAAAAGATTATCATATAAATAATTCAAATGAACATTTTTAGTTATCTGCGAAACATCAAGCATTTCTTTAAAAGATATCAATATAAAATATTGCTATGAAAAACAATGACAAAAATGTATTGATAAATAATCTGAACAGACATTCCAACTCGTACAGTTCGTTTATATCGCATATGAACGAATAATGATTTTAAATAAGCGACGAAATTTAAACAGATTTTGACGTTCAAGTTCGATATACTAAGTTAGAATTATTGAGACTAATAACATAATTTTAAACCCGTGTTTTGTTAAATATATCTGATATTATTCATTGAAAATCATCATACAAAGGCAAATCTTTATTCTGATATGAATGACTCAGAGATTATCACAATCTGAAGGCTTAGAAGAAACTAGCACTGTTCAAATAACGACAAAAATAATAAAAATATTCGAACAAAACAGTATGACAGCTGAACAAGTTATGTTTTTAGGTACGCAGAATCGATATTGATAAACTGCAGGTAAAATAGTTCAAGAATAATTTCTACGGCAAGACTATACGCAATAGTTATCTTCTCTTAGTAGCATGCTTACTAATTATCAAACACATTTTGATGATTAGACACTATTGTGTGTCCAAAGTAAAGAGATCTAAAATTGATCATACGGTTTTTAAATAATTCCATACAAGTTTCAGTTCGGTTCGATTCGAGAAAAACACGAACCAATTCCATCTCTGATATACATACAATGTCGATGGTTGTATTGGATCAGCGTTAACTGGAGGCACACCCTGAAATGAACAAGAGAAGATTATGATGTAACGTTTTTCTTTATCTGAATAGATTACATTGTGAACATTCATTTTGTTGCTCTTCATAATTGAGATGGAATCCAAATCTCAATACTTTCGCAAACTAAAATCTACAAAAAACAAACTTCTTATTTAGAAATTTACCTTGAACAGGAATCTTATTGGCAAAGCCGTAATGGTGTGGGTGTCACATTCTTTGTATTCATCCACATTCACATCTAAACCACAAGATCATTTATACTCGCATCTTCACATATACTGTCATCTGCACTAATATTCAAACTCATGGACTTGATGTTTCCTCTTTTTCAAACTCTTAACGGAACAAAACAGGTTGTCAAAAATGAATATCTCTGTGATATTTACAAACATTGAAAAGTTATTACGCTGATCTGGGAATCTAATGAAACTTTAAGCTTATGAGAACGTTTGTGGTTAAAATGGGCAACAGTTCTTACAAGGATATCCATTTAAACTCTACCCCACACACATTGATCTCGAGAAGAAAAGAAAACCACTGTACAACAAAATAGGTCGAGCAATATTTACTAACATTGGTTATTTGCAAATCACTTGTTATTCTGCCTTTGTGACGTATAAGTTGGTAATAGTTTCTTTCGTTGAAAAAAGAAAATGTATGCACATCATACATAATTCACCTTTTATATATAAGACTGAATCAAACCTTTTATTTTGGTTGTACAAGAATGATAAACAAGGTTATCGATCAAAGTCGATAAGAAATATTTCTTTTGCTTTTATTGACGATGATATTATTTATCTTCATAGTTTCTTCTCTGCTTACAAAAGATAACAACAAAAATCTTGAGGAGTGTGAGTATAGATGTAGATGTGGATGTTATATTCAACTTTTTCACACAGTCAAACATACACCACTGGTGTAACCGAAAGGAGGAAAATGAACAACTATCTATGTCATCTGAAGCTTTGTCCATTGAAATTTTACTTTTTCAAAATTGTTTGAATATTTTCGAATAAGACAATAATAGGATGTTATTCTTCCGTATGAATCATACGCACTCTCCTGCTTGTTCTTATTATGAAGAATGAAGAAGAGAAGAACAAAAGGATCGCTTCTTGCATTTTAACTTCAAGTTTGGATAAACATGATTATGATGTTATTAGGAAAACATCAGCGAAGTGAAGGACTTGTTACTATGTATACTCATGAAGATCTCGATTTGAATTCGAATGAAATATTAAATTATGTACATAAATACATTCTCGCCGTCTTCACTTTGATGTCTGAATGTGGAATATAAATATTATAAACAGTGATATTAAAAATATACTGAAACACATCTCATCCAGACTTCACATCTGAGTTGAATGATTAAAAAGTCTTTATCTTTTCCAAGAAGAAAAATCAAAAAATAATCTAATAAAATCCAAAGAAAATAATTTTACAAATTTCTTTACTAAAGATATTTCAACGAAAGCAAAGGATTTTTATTCTATTTTTCAAGATTTTGTAAGTTTTCTATTGATAAAAAAAAGTTTATTTAAATAAACAAGAACTTGTTTATTAATCAATTGAAATTTCCAATTTATTTTTCTCTTCAGTTTTCATTTTTTAATCAAATAAAACAAGCTTCATCTTTTGTTAATTTTTCTAATTTTTTCCCTTATTTTAATGAATTATTTTATTTTATTTTTAATATTTAAATGTAAAACAAATTTTTTCTTTTGAAAAAAAAGGTTTTCTTGATCTATTTCTTCGATTTTGATAGATCTCATTCTTATTCATTTATCTTTTTTCTTATCTCTTCTCTTTCTCTTAATAAATTATAAAACTATAAAAATAAATAAAATAAAATCTCTATTTAAAAGGGTTTTTTTATTAATTTGAATGTTTTCCTAAATTTACAAATATTTTGTTTGATTTTACATGAAAATAAAAATTTTTGCAATTGAATTTTATTTGAAATTCTTTTAATTTGATTCAGTCAACAAAAATTCTATCCTAATTATTTAATTCATTTCGGTTTTTTAATTCAAAAGTAAAATTAACAAAAACAGTTATTTATTTTTCTTCTAAAAAAGAAAAACAAATTTATTTCTTTATGAGAAGAAATATTTTGCTTCATTTTCATTTATTCTTGTAGACGACTTTTCATAAATTAACGTTTTTTATTTATTTTCAAAAATAAAAATAAAAACTGAATCAAAGTAAATCAAAACTATTTGACAATCAAATTTTTTCATATTTCTGGATTCGATGATTGTCATGATCAACAACATAAAGATTGCCTTCATTATCAAATGATAAACCTGCGGGACGATCCAATTGATTTAATCCATATCTTCTTGCATTTCCACCAACAACAATTTCACCTTCTGCATCTCCTTCACGCCAACGCATTACTCGATTATTCCGAGAATCTGCCACATAGATTTGACCCAAATGATCAACAATCACTCCTCCAGGATAATACAACTGTTTGAGACTATTTCCTTCACCATTTCCACCAGCAACAATAATTCCTTCTTTTGCATTTTTTCTCCATTTCATTACACGATAATTGTCTTTATCTGATATGTAAAGAGAATAATCTTCATCGACAAAGATAAAAGTAGGATAATTGAGTTGATTAAGATGATATCCTCTACCATTTCCACCTGCAACTAATTCACCTTTTTTATCCCCTTGTTTCCATCGTCTTACTTCACTGTTCTCACAATCAGAAGCATAAATAAATCCATTTTTATCGATTGCCAGACCCATACATTTAATATTTGAAATGATAATTTGTTGATTTGTTCGATTTTGCTCGAAATATCGAATTACTTGTTTGTTCCCAGTATCAGAAATAATAAAAGAATTATTTTTTTTATCAAAAATTATGTTTGTTGGATCATTCAATTGATTATATTGATATCGTTGTCTATCTCCACCTGCGACAATTTGACCAATCTTTGAATACAATTTCCATTTAATAATGCGATGATTCCACGAATCAGCAATATAAATTGATTTATCATTATCAATAGAAATCCCCCAAGGACTAGAAAGTTGATTTAATCCATATCCTCCACTATTTCCTCCAGCAACAGTAATTGCAAATTGTTGAAATTTATTCTTTTTTGTTTGAATTTGTTCTAAAATAAAACAGATTTTCTTTTTATTTAAAATCATTTGCATTATTTATAGATAAAAAAAGGGTGAAAATATGAAGAGAAAGCTGTATTTGAATTTGTTTTGATAAAATAAAATTTCCTTTTTGTTAAATTTAATTTTCAATCAAACAAAATAAGTTCTAAACAATTTCTTCACTTTCTCAGATTTTTTAATTTAAAAATCTTTATTTGATTTTTATAAAGTTTAATTTAGGAAAATCTTTTTAGATGAAAATTATTTTTATTACAATGACTTAAATAAAATTGATTAAAAACTTCTTTTTTATTAATAAATTGAATAGTTCTTTTATTTGAAAATTCTAAACTGAAGAGTGTTAGATGGTATCATCACCTTTTTTCTCACGTTATATATGTATAGTTTCTTTCGTTCTGTTGTTACATATACATATATGATATACAGTGTGATTCATCTTCTTCTATATGTGTTCTCTTTCTCTTCTATATGGTTCATGGATTATCCCTTTCGTTATGTTATATGGATTTCTCCTCTCCTATCGTTTATATATATGATGCTATATATTATGGGACTTTTCCTCATCTTGTTCCCTTGATCTCATATTGGACATATCCCTTACAGGGTGTTCCACCATCCTAAATATAGCGTGTGCTTTTATACGAATAAACAGAGAGGATTATCATCTTCATCTTCACAAGAGTTAAACTTAACTTAAATTCATTCAACAATTTAAAAACAATATAACCTTTTTACTAAAATATTAAGAGATTTTTCAAATTGAAAAAAAGATAAAAATTCTGTTTATTCTGAGAAATTTGTTTAGATTGGAATTTTGAATTAAAATAGTTCTTTTAAAAAACAAAAAAAGTAATGGTTTTATAAAAAAAATTGTTAATTGATTAATCTGTTGAAGTAATATTTCGAATTAATTTTATTTTAATATTTACAAATATTTAAAATTTATTGAGGATGGATGTGAGTGAAGGTAAGAGATAGACTCCTTACTTTCACCCACACCCTATTTTTAGACTTCTTTGGATCTTATATTTATTCATTCTCAACATCTGAAACTTCTCTCTCTAAATTCCAATTAATTAAATTCGTAAATGAGACATCTTTAATCTCGTTTATAAAATTAATTTGTAATACAAAAAACTTGAACAAATACTTCGTTGAAGCTTCGTTTTCTCTTTTCTCGAAATGAAATAATTGAATAAACATACCCAATGGTGAAGTGACTGAAATTTTGTTGATAAATTCTTTTGAATCTTGTCGAATAGAAATATTTGATGGTTGAAGAAATTCTTCTGTAATCTGTGTTAGTTTTAGTTGAAAATGATATAAATCAATTTCATTAAATTCATTCTCCTCACGAATTTCTTTTAATTTCTGAGATAATTCAATAAACTTTTTTTCAATATCATTTATCGACTTTTGTGTTAATTTTATCACTTTTTCTCGACATTGTAGTGCTGTTTGTTGAATTTTCTCAATTGAATTTTTTTCCCATTGATTAATTTGTTGAATTAGAGGAGAATTGTCTGGATTATGTTTTCGTTGAATAATTGTTTGTTGAAATTGATCATGATCATTAATAATTTCATCTAACTGTCTGTCAAGAATTTGCCGATGTTCTGTTAAATGTTGAAAACAAAAATCTTTTGAACATCCACGACAAAGATATGTCGTATTTCCCTTGTTACAGATAGAGCATTGTACTCTAATATTTTCTGCTACCATTTGCTGAAGAATTTGAAAAAGAAATGAATAACTAGTCTAATTTTGTTTGGGTGTTTATTTATACAAAAGAAAATGAGTCATGGTCAATAAATATCAGTGGATAGTAAAAGAACGAAGAAAACCTTTGTTCGATAGTTAAGAAGTCTACATCATAAGGATATTTTAATATTCATTGCAATTGAATGAAAACTAATTCTCTTTAAAGAAGATGAATTATGAAAATTTTATTGATCTTTCGTCTTTTATATGAGTTGAGACAAAAATAATACTGTAATTTGCATTGAATAACAAAATGCGATTTTAAGTAGATGTCATTAATCTATTCAATTCTCTTTACTTCACTGACCAATTCAATCTTCTTAAATATGATGATCAAAGTTTTTCTTGAACTTCTCTCAAGGATGTTCGTTAAATATGTTTAAATAAACGAAAATCAATCGACTTGAATTCGAAGAAAATAAAATGAAAAGGAAAATGATTCCGATATGTTGAATTTCCCATTATTAATTGTTTTATTCGAAAGAATAAACTCAATGAAATTAAAGAAAAATCAATTTGATGTTATTTGAAAATTTTCATTCGACTTATAATTATTTATTTTTCTCTTTTAAAACCAAAGACGAATGTTAATTGAATATCATCCAAATATTGATATTATAAAATAAAGATGTGTTCATAATTATTATTAATGACAATTCAATTGCTTATTGTCTTATGTATTCTGAATTATGTTGATAAAGATACTGGTTACATTAAGATATATATATATATATATAAGTTGGAAATACGTTTGTCAAGGTTTAGTACATCTTCTTGAAAGGACTGTTTTAGTGAATTATTAATGAATCAAATCAACTAGACAAATGTAGTAACATTTCTTAGAAAAATCAAAATCATTTTCGAATATTCTTTGAGTAAACATATTCGTAGAAACAAGAATGAATGTAGATTAATTAGTAGTATGACTTAGCCAATGTTCAAATTTAATTGTCATAAAATAATCTTCAAGTTCCATCAGTAGTGTTCAGAGTATTTTTTGATACTCTTTTAATTCATAAGAGTACAATCTCTGTCCTGACAAATCTTTTATCTATTGCAGATACAAATAGACTGTTTGAATACATTTATAATTTTACGTAACCCCTCTATCACCGTATTAATATACTATAAATAAGTTCAATACTATTAGATTATTTTTGAAGTAGATGTATTATATGGGTCTAAAACGATTGTGAACTATTGTCATGCGTTGCCATTGATTCCGCATCCATACAGTATATCCGAATGTGTGTCTGGGTGTGGATATAGGCCTGGATGTGGCTGATATAGAGAGCGTAGGTGCAGTTCTGGGTGTGGATGTAGATCACATTAAAACATGAATACCACCCACACTCTCAGAGCATGCTCATCCGGTTTGGTATTGAATTTTATCATTGTAAACAAGTTTTCATGCGATTTAAATAAAAAATATGTCTGTTACATCTGAATGACAACACCGATTTTCCTATACCTTCAGTAAAACGATGCATACTTGTATGGGGGCTGATATGAGAACTCAAACAAAAAAATTAGCTCTCTCAGTTCCCTAGAAAAACTAGATGGGTTTGTTAGATCGACCTATCAATACTATAGTGGAAGTTATTAGAAGTGCCGCTATAAAAATAATTTTTGTGTTAATACTAATTTCAAAGCTTTTCTAGAATTAGTTTTTGATGCTGAATCTGACCATAATATTTTCTAAAAGTTTCAAGAAAATAAACATAGTGATTTTTGCATACTTCGTCAAAAACCTGATTTTTGAGAAAACTTAGGTTTTCCAGGTATTTCGTGGTTTTTGACTAGAAAAAAGCTACCACTTTATCGATTCATGTACGAAAAAAGCAAAAATAGATTTCACTCGATTTTTGCATTGCCTGCACCTCACAAATCTTAAAAGTAATATAACAATTATTCACATATTTTACAACTCTTCTTTCCTTTCAGTCTGAGGAAAATAAAGTGTCTCATTTATTTATTTATTTGAAATTTGTCAAAATCAATTCTATCAACAAATTATCTGAATTATCATTTATATTTTATTTATAAAAACATCATCACTATTATCTCTTCTTGTTTGATTATTATTTAAATGTCAAACAAAAATATCATCAAATCTTTTTTTATCACAAAATCGATCAATTCATCTTATCATTTTATCAGATTTAATAAATTCAAAATTAAAATAACAAATATTTCATAATCATTATTATTATCAACACAAAAGATCAAGTCAAATAAATTAACAAATTTATTTATTTTAAAAATAATTTCATTTACACAAAAAACATTAATTCGATCTATTTCATTTCATTTTGTCATTCATTTTATTTATTCATATACACACAACTTTAAAACACAACAATATTCCCCTTTCATATTACTTTCTTATCCTCTTAGATTATCTCATCTCCAATAGAATTAAAAACTCACTTCTACATCTATCTCAATCGAATTAGAAAATTTAATTTTAATTATTTCAATACAATATCAAATCAACCACAACAAAATTGACAAATTAATCAAACTTTTATTTGATTATTTTAAATCAAAAATATGGAAAATCAGTTTATTTGAACAAACTAAATCGAAACAGATATTTGTTAACAAACCAAACTTAATTTAATTATTGACGAAACTTTTGAACTTTTATATTTATTTAGTTTTCAATTAAAATAAACAAAAATATTTTCGCAAAAAATTTAACTGTTCATTTCATCAATCTCAACAAATTTAATTCAAATCAATTTCAAATTTTTGTATTCGATCATTACCCCAATCGGCAACATAGAGATTTCGTTGGACATCGAATGATAAACCCATGGGGCAATTGAACTGATTTGGTTGTTCTCCTCTTCCATTTCCACCAACAACAATACTACCTTCACAAGATCCTTCACACCAACGCATTATTCGATGATTGTTGAAGTCAGCCACATAAATATTACCCATATGTTCGACAACCACTCCTTGAGGATGAGACAATTGTGTTAAACTATTCCCTTCACCTTTTCCACCAGCAACAACAATACCTTCTTTTGCACCTTTCATCCATTTCATCACACGATGATTGTAACGATCCGACACATAAACTGAACGATCTTCATCAACGAAGATATAAGTAGGATGATGAAGTTGATTGAGA